GAGGAGAGGAGAGGAGAGAAGAGAAGAGAAGAGAAGAGAAGAGAAGAGAAGAGAAGAGAAGAGAAGAGAAGAGAAGAGAAGAGAAGAGAAAAGAGAAGAGAAGAAGGTCCCTGCTGTCTCTCTGAGCCTCGGGTAGGCCTCCTCCCTGCTGTAGCCTCTCAGGCCCTGCCTGGACCCTCAGCCCCGCTGCTGCCATGAGCCTTCTGGAAAGCCCCAGTCAGCTGCTGACGCAGGCTGGAGAGGGAGCCGGGGGCGAGTTCCTGCGAAGGCAGGCTCTGGGCTGCAGCCCTGGAGCCCCTGTCACTTCCCTCCCCCTTGCCCCCGCCAGAGGCCGCGGTTTCATCACCGCTAGGTCCTTGTCCTTATAAGGCAAGGCCAACAGCTGGCTGGGGAGCATGGCGCCACCCCGGGGCATTCTCCAGCTGCAGGAACTTGGGGAGCCCCAGGCCCAGCCCCTAAAGTCACAGGCGAGGGAAGCATTCGGATGTGGTCTCCACACTGCCTTTGGTCTCCTAGAAAGTTGCTTAGGCCTTGGTTTCCTCCATGGTCCTCACTGTCCACTGTGATAACAGAGCAATTGACCATCAAACAGGCAAGCTGGTGGACAAGGAAGATCTGCCCACTGTACAGGTGGAGAAACAGAGGCACGCTTGCCTGGAAGTCACCCCTGAGCCGATTGCGGGGCTGGAGAGGGACCAGGGCCCCCGTTTGAACAGAGGTGTGTCCACCTCCAAATCTAAAGTCATGGATTTCCTGCTTATGCCCTGTTGTTTCCTACAGGGAATTTTGTTTTTTAATAAGATGACAACGCCATCACCTCATCACCCTGTGTTCCTTCACAGAGCCTCCTGTCACAGCAACCTCCACGAGGGCGAGCTTCTGAGGTTTTTTCCAAAGGCCCTGTTTGTCTAGGCCAGGAGGGGAGGCTGGCAGAGGGGACTTGGGGGAGGCACTGAACTCGGAACCCAGTGGCTGCAGAGACACGGGAGGATTCCAGGGCCTGGGCTCGGGCAGAGGTGGAAACTGAGCCAGTGAGGACCTCGCCTTCCAGCCAGGGCCTCCCACCCTCATTCTGGGTCCTATCTGAAGGCAGCCACTTGTGGTAGGCAAAACCCAGCCCTGAAACTGCCCTCAGAACCTAAGACCACTGGATGTCACTGCCTGTGTTCAAAAGAAGGCCCCACTGCTCTGCCCTGGCCTACAGCCTTGAGTGCAGAGGGGAAAGAGTCCTCACCACATCCTTCCGCAGCCAGGGGCAGGTCACCCACGTGGCCTACCCGCTGCTCTCTGCAAGGTGGCCCTCAAGAGGGGACCCAGTGCCTCGGTCTGAGGTGACACTCCCATCATAAAGGATCTGGGAAAGGGAAGTGATCATGAGGTCCCCGGGGCGCTGTGGGATGCTCATTCAGTATCACTGTCACACTGGTGCCTGTGGCAGAATTCATGCAGGACACGGGGTCACAGCCCCAGAAGATAGGTCCCAGGTCAGGAGCTTCCTGTTGTGTTGGCCAACAGCCCTGCCGGGTGGCCCTCAGAGGAGGAGGAACAGGAGGCCTTTGGCAAGCACAGTCGGCCTTTCCCACCCGGAGTGGGGGGCTTCGTTATCCTCTTGCAGGTGCGGAAACTGAGGTCCCCAAGTCTGAGGCTCTCGGGAAGTCCCTGGCTTGGAGCTCTGTGCTTGGCCTGGGGCTTCCCAGAGATCCCATGGGGGGCTGGGATGTGTCAGGGGCTCCCAGGCAAGAAAACAGGGCTCACACTGCCCTCCCCAACTGGGAGCAGGTATCGGGTAAGATGCCTGAAGTCTCCATTTGGATTCTAGTTGTCACAGGAAGCACCTGTGCAGCGACGATGGCGCTCGGGAAGTCAGGCGAGGCACGATGCCTTTGCGCCTGGTCTTCAGACGCCTCCCAATTGCTTTCTATTGGGGGGAAAATTTAATGGTACAGTAACAAGAAAAATCAGATACACAAGGGGCAGATGGCTGTGTGATTGCAGATGTGACCTCTGAGAAGGGTCCAAGGCCACCAGGCAGCTTTCCTGTGTCCAAACCCAACATAATCACGGGGAACCTCAGACAAACCCCAGTGTGGCCTGCTCTATTAAAGGGGTGGGGCCAGGGAAGGCCTGGGCGCTGGGGAGTGTTAAGGTCATAAAGACAAAGAGGGAAAGATGGAAACGACTCAGGTGAAAGGAGCAGGGACAGTAGTGGCTGTGAGCATGTTTAGCCCTAATACTGTGCAAGTCTGAGGCAGGAGGATCACAGGTTTAAGCCCAGCCAGATAATTTAGTGAAACCCTGTCACAAAATAAAACACAAGAAAAGGGTAGGGGGTGGCTCAGTATGAAAGCCCTGGGTTCAATCCCCCCCTACTGTAAAAATTAAAAGGCAGGAAAAAGACAGCTGTAGGTAACACTTGATAACAGCTGGAGAAAAACTATAATAAAGGATATTATTAGGTCCAACAACAAAAGTGGAACATAAACTATCATGTTAAATTTATTGGCACTGATAAAAGTACTACAGTTATATGAGAAAAGGCACATATTTTGGGGGAACACATAAGGAAGTACTTAAGGGTAAGGGACCAGATAACCAACTTTCCAGTGATTCAGAAAAAAACAAAAACAAAACAATATGTCCTCAGGAAAGCAAATGCTAAGAGATAAAGCAATGAAACAACATGGGCAGAGGGCGTGGGTGTGCTCTGTACTAGTCTTATTCTTGCAATTTTTCTCACATAGACTTTTTCCAAATAAAATTTTAAGGTGGGTGGTGCAGACCTGTAATCCCAGCACTCGGGAGGCTAAGACAGGAGGATCGCCCTGAGTTTGAGGCCAGCCTGGCCTTAGAAGGGAAACCGTTGATCCTTATGACACTTAGCCCAGCTCCTGGCACCAAGGGGGAGTGAATTCAACTGGCCCTGGCTGAGGGTGGCAGGTGCTGCCACAGCCTTCTATGGGCTCACGGCCCAATTGACACCACCAAAGTGACTGCCACCTACACTCTACCCCCACATCAGTAAACAGGCTTGGGCCGGGGAGATGGCTCAGTAGAATAACTGCTTGCCTGGCAAGCACAAGGACCTGAATTCAATCCCCAGTTCTGCCAAAAAAAAAAAAAAAAAAAAAAAAAAAAGAAAGAAAGAAACAGGTTCTAGGCAGAAGAGTTCCATAAAAAGGGGTTTATTGCCAAACTTCAAGAAAGGCTTTTTATAAGCAAAAGACACTGAACACCTCCTCTCCAAGGAGGCAGAAGGTAGCCCCACGCACCCCTCCTGTCCCCACCTGGACACCACTTGACAGGGGACACTGAGGCCCCAAAGTCTGGACACAGGTGACGCGGCTGCTGGTGAAGGAAGGTTCCTACAAGACAGCCGGGGCTGTACAACTGTTGGCACTGAACAATGCTCCTGTTCTCACAGAGGACAGGCAGATGGGAGACTGCAGCGGGGGCGGCTGCCCGGGCTCGTGAGCCACGGCAGTGTGGCTCTCCTTTGCCCCTAGCCTTGACCCCCCAGGACAAGGTGGCAGTGCAGTAAGGACCATGGTGATCTGTGCTGGCAGGGCTCAGTGGGCACAAGTGCTGGCAGAAAGGCCAGGCCACGCTGCAGGGAGCCCCTCCTCTAGCAAATGAAAGTGCACATGCAGGGACCCCCGGGTCTTCCCGACATACACCCCGCCCTGACCCCAGCTGGCTCCTCCTCATGGGAACAAAGGAGGCAGCCCACCAGGGATAGCAGTGAGGGGATGCCAGGGACACGAGTTGTCCTGGCCCAGGAAGAACCAGGAGTCCAGCTGGATCTCACCCCACAAGCACGGGGCAGGCGTGTCCTGAGCCTGCACGGTGATTCTTACACAAAGCTGTTCACCTGGTGTCCCTTGCTTAGGAGTCTGCAAGGCTGGACACACAAGCTGGTCCAGGAGCGGACTAGACCAGGAGACACCTGGTTCCTCTTCTCCCCAGATCCCTCAGACACAGGCCTCCGATCACAGCCCCAAGGAGATGGGGTCTCGGGAAAGGCAGCAGGTGCAGGAGAGCCGCGGCAGCCAGCGGCTTCCTCACCCAGGGCTTCCCACCTGTCAAGGTCCAGTTAGGCCTGCAGCTAGACCCACAGCCTGCAGCTGCAGGTGGTCGGCTGGGATGTCTGCAAACACGGGGCTGCCGAGGCTCGAGGCTCGGCTGTGCTCTCTTCCCAAGTCAGGAATGTAAACTACCAGGGGTGGGGCAGCAGAGACAACGCCATCCACAGGCTCCCGTGCCCACACTGCCAAAGCTAAGGGCTGGTGGGGAACGACTCCAAGACACAGGGCTCAGCATGTGCTCCCAGGCCAGGCCAGAGAGCCACACAGTGACCCACATGTGCCTGGCCCGAGCAGGGTGGGCTGGCAGGGACACTGGGGGGTCTGTTAACCCTGACATACACAATGCCCTTCTAGAGCCAGGCTGTGTAACTCATTGCCTGCTGCCAGCAGGGCTGGGTCTAGACAGCCTAGGGCATGCTTCTCCGATACAGCGATACCAGCTCCTTCTGCTTCTTCTGTAGGCCAGGTGCCTCCTGGTCAGGCTCTCTAGCATCCGAATCCCTCATCTCCTGCAGAACCTGCGTGGCCTGCCTCAGCTGCTCCACAGCCTGGCTCAGCAGGGTCTCAGTGTTTGCTGGGGGCACCTGGCCACCCAGCACCTCACCCAGCAGTCTCTCTGTCTGCTTGGAGGCCACCTGAACCTCCAGCTGGGCACGGTACAGCCGATCCCCAGGAAGCAGAGGACGCTGCCGGCCATCTGTAAGCAGGTCCCCCAGGGAGGAGCAGCGGGAGTGGAGCTGAGGCGATGCGTCTGGGAGGGGTAGCTGTGCTGGAGACACTGCCACCTCCTCAGGGGCAGCTCCCGGTGGGCCTGCATCTGGGGAGGGCTTGGCAGGCTCAAGCCCATCATCCACACCATTTACAGAGACCCGCACAGGGCTGCAGGGCTCAGGGGTCCCCAGGCTGCGGGCAGGCCCAGAAGCTTCTGCCCGGCCCAAGCAGGCCTTCATCTTTTCTGATAAGAACTTGGGTGGTGGTGTGGGGGGCTTCCGACCCTCCCGGCGGGGGGCCTCTGAAGTCTTCAAGGAGGGCCCAGGGCTCAGTTCCACGTTATGGGAAGTGGTAGGCTTCTCAGGAGTAGGGGGCTTCTCAGGAACAGCAAGGGGCTTCTTGGGAACAGCAGGGGGCTCCTTGAGAACAGCAGAGGGCTCCTCAGGAACAGTGAGGGGCTCCTCAGGAACAGCGGGGGGCTTCTCAGGAACAGCAAGGGGCTTCTTGGGAACAGCAGGGGGCTCCTTGAGAATAGCAGAGGGCTCCTTCAGAACAGTGGGGGACTCCTCAGGAACAGTGGGGGGCTCCTCAGGAACAACATGGGGCTTCTTAGGAACAAAGGGCGGTTCCTTGGGAACAGTAGAGGGCTCCTCAGGAACAGCAGGGGGCTCCTCAGGAACCGTGGAGAGTTCCTCTGGAACAGTGGGATCTCCAAAGCTGGGGCTTTCCCAGCTCACCTTCATTTTGTCAGGTAAGGTGCTGTTGCAAAACTCCTTGGACCCACTGTCCTCCTCTGTCGGATTATTTTCAGAGTCCAGGGGGCTCTCGGGATGGGCCTCAGTGCTTGCTGAGACAGGGGTCAGGGCCTTATCACCTTCAGGGGGTGCCACGCCATCACTAAGACTGGCGGGCTCCATCGCTGGTGAAAGTTTGGGTGGAGGCATGAGCACCTCCCGGACCTGAGGCTGGGGCTGGGGCTGTGCCTCGCTGCCGGTATCGCTGGGCACCAACACTGGTGGGCCGCTGTCCGGCACATCGAGGTCCAGGCGCAAAAGTCCATCGGAGGCTGCGTTGGCCACCTGTGGAGGAACAGGATCCAGGCGCCACCTTGGCTGACTGCCACCGGTCTGATGTAGGTACCCCAAATCCTCCAGCCCCTCACCCTGCCTGCCCTTCAGCAGCTCATTCCTACCCCTTGGGCCTTCAGTGTGGCCCAGAACAGCTGATCCCCCAATTCCAGGGGCTCATGGGGACACCAAGCAGCACTGCCGTCCATCCAGAGGACCTCCTCCCTTTAGAGGCTGTGGGGCAGGAAGGAGCACCTACCAACGCCCCTCAGATGGGACCTGCAGCTGAGCCCCCATCCTACTACATGCACCAGATCTGCCAGTACCCATGCTGACCACTGGGGACCACAAGAGAACCCCGCATGCACTGTCTGTCCTGCCAGGGGGGCTCCCTGTCTGCCCAGCTCTCCTGCTCACGGCCACCTCGGTCCTCCTAGGATGGGCTCCTGTCCCCCAGATGACAGACAAGGATAGGCCAGTGGGCCTCAAAACAAACCTTCCAACAAGCTGGGGTGCCTCCCCCAGCCCTTTCTCTCCAGGGAACCCCCAGTTTTGTACCCCACAAGGGCCCTACACTGACTCCGCTCAGAAAATGGCTATCTCTTCTTCAGGCCCGCCCTTGTCACTTGGCTGAGGGCCCCAGTCCTGTGTCCGTCGGCCCTCACCTCCCCACTCTTCCCTGGCTGCTGCTGCATTGGTTGTGCTCTTTACTAGGCCTCTAGAGTCCACTGCCCTCCTGCCTGTCAGCCCCTCCTCTGATGTGCTGTCTCCCCAAGTCCCCCCGCCTGGGCTCCAGGCCACCTTCCCACTCAGCCCAGCCCTGCGCCAGGCACGAGCTGGGTGGCTCCTGTCTCCCACTGGTGCCTCCCTTCCCATCTGCCTGGCCCGGCGACTGGGCCTCCCCCCCTCTGGCTGCCTGCTTCTCTGCCTCACTGGACCCACCCTATCTATCCAGGCCTCAGACTGACCTCTGGAAGGAGCCGTCCCTTCACATCCCCAATGGCCCCAATGCTTCCTCCCCTGCCCCCCTCTTCCCAGCCAACCTCCCCCACCAACAAAGCCACACGTCTACCCTGAGCTGTCTGGCCTGGGCCTCGGCACACCCCGTCCTGTCCATGGACTGGGCTATTCTGGCCAGAAACCAACATCTGAGGGCTGGACTGCCGCAGGGACCTCAGTTTCTCTGTGACTGATTCTGTCCAGGGTGTGGACCCCAAACGAATCAGGCTGTGAACCATGGGTGCTACCACTGCCCTTCCTCCCTGCAGACCACTCAGTGAGGTCCAGCTGCAGGCATCCCTGGGAAGGGGTGCCCCAAGCCTGGTTGGTGCCTCCCCCATCTGTGGGGATGGCCTCACCTCCTTCAGGTGGATCCTGGTAGGCGGCCGCCGCCGCTGACCCCCACGCACCCGGTCCCGTGTCACGTGCGCCAGAGCACAGGTCTTGTCCACCTTCACCTGAGGAGGAGAGGGGAGCAGCTCAGCCCACCTGCCAGGCTGAGTGGAGGCGGAGGTACTGCGGGACCCTGCATCCTCCTGGCAGTGCTCTCCGCCCACTGTGGCCCTCAGCCCTGACTGCCTGCTTAACTGCAAGTATCTACGCAGTCTGGAGGTCACCCTGGGGCTCAGCTGGGGAACCAAGAGAAGCTAGCCCCCCTCCCCTGGTGCTGGGACCCACACAGTACTACCTGCCCTGGCCTCCCAGTCTCTCAGGCCCTGGGAACATCCAAGAAAGAGCTGAGGCCTCTGTCCTGAGCCTAGGAATCTGAAGAACAGCAGCTCCTCTGAGGGCCAGGAAAGAGACGAGGAGCAGGTAGGAGCCCTGCGGAAGCCCGTCCCTCTCAGGAAGTTGGGGTGCTTGAGCCTGCCAGCAGCTCCAGTTGTCTCTGTTCCTCTGCTCTGCCCAGGCTGGGCTGAGGCCCAGGCCCTGGCTTCTGTGGCTGTCCTGGTTCCCACAGTGTGGCCACCCATCATCCTCTCTGCCAAAATAGGAGCCCTGCCCTGGGCAGTAAAGGAGGAGCAATACACAGGGACACGAGAGGCCTCTGGAGGCTCCACCCTGCTCTCGAAGGTTCTCGCCGTCCAATCTTGTCTTTTGGAGACCAAGGGGCCACTGCAGGTGGTCCACGCCCGTTATGGCCCCAACAGCTAAAGCTCTGTGATGCCAAAACAAATGGGCTGGCATGGAGCTCGGCGGCTAAAAAGCCAGTGAGCGTGCAGGCCACAAACAAGAGGCACAGCGAGGCCCTGGGTTTGATCCCTAGTGGCATAAGAAGGAAAGAAAACCCTCACATTCCCAAGAGATCCTGGTCGCAAGGGATGCCCTGCCCTCAGCTCCCGCAGGGCCTGAGCGCGGTCAAGGCCCCACAAGGCACCCCCACCCCTCAGTGTGGGGCTGATGTCTGCAGGACTGGAGGGTCACAGGCAAGTGGCCTGGATTTCACGGGCAAAGCAGGAAGGAAACTCCGGGCTACGTCCCCGGACTTTTAAATTTACTTTAAGACAGGGTCTCTCTGGGTTGCTAAGGCTGACTCCACCAGCCTTTTCTCCCCCTGCCTCAGCCTCCCAAGCTGCTGAGATTTGCAGATGGGCACCACCACAAGGAGCTTGGCATGCTCTTAAGAGTCAAAACATACTTTTTACTTCCCTCATGCCTCAGTTTTATCTCTAAAAGAGGGATACCACCACACTCTGAGCAACTGTTAGGAGGATTAAAGGAAATATCCCCAGGCACCCCAGCATTTCCAGCGGCGAAGAAGTCAAGGGGAAGTGTAGGGCAGGCTCCCCTCCTAACACACAGCAGACCCGAGGACCACAGCCATTCACAGGGCTGAGACACACCTCGTCAAAGGCCTTGTTCTTGCCTCGGTTGATCCCTTCATTGAGGGCTTTGATCCAGGACTCCTTCTCCTCCCCACTGGGTGCCTGGAATTTGATGTCACTGACCTGCAAATGAGACGGGTAGGATGCGTCACAGATATTTCCCAGGGCTCACCCTGCAGCGGCTTTGTTTTGTTTCATTGGTTTTGTTTATTGTTTTTTTGACACAGGGTCTCACTACATAGCCCAGGCCGCCCTTGACTCATGGTGATCCTCCTGCCTCAGCCTCCCAAGTGCTGGGACCATAGGCATGAGCTACTATGCCTGGCCCCTTTGGGGTCTTCAGGAAGCTTCCCATCCCAGATCTCAAAGTCAAGCCAAAATGGCCCCACGCCAGGTCTGAGAGCAGGACCCGGGTGTGGAGAAGGGACCTCAAGCTGGCTGCCTGCCGGGCTCTGCACTTCCATTTGCTCTAAGGAGGGATGGTCTTGGTCTACACCCAAGCCAGGCAGGCAGGAGCAAGGCCACCCTCTGCTCCTCAGTGGGCCCCACACCCAGCCCTGGCCTCGGCTGAGAAACACACCCCGCTCCTGAGCACCAGGGTCTCACTTCTGGCCTTGAATGTGCAAAGAGGACACGGGCACAGCTCCACCCTCATCACACAGATAAAGAAATGGCTCAGCAGTGGAGAGGATGCTGGCCCAAGGGGACTCGGGCCACCCCACCAACTCCTCGGCCACCACACATGGCCCCTTCCCACCTCAGCCTGGAGCTCCGAGTGCCTGTGTCAGAGGCAAGTGCCTGTGTCACAGCCGCTTGGCAGCCAGAGCCTCAGCCCTGCGCAGGCCCAGGAGAGGAAGCGAGGCCAGCCTGGCCAGCCAAGGGCCCCTCACACTCAGACAGCACAGTGGGCCCGGCTGGGCAGCCTACCACTCACAGCATCCCACCTCAGCTTCCTCATCTGCGAGAGCAAATACCACTGCAATCTATGTGGGGCATGTGGGGATTATTAACAAAAACTGACGTAGCTGGGGCCAAGGGTGCTGCTCTGGGGCGGGGTACATGTAGCGTGCACTGATCCTACTTGGATCTCTGGGACTAGGAAACAATAAATACATAAGGATTTTTTTTTTTTTTTTTTCTCGGAATGCCTTCAGGGCAGGTTTGGCTGGCTTGAGTTGTGGGGATGGAACCACAGCAACCTGAGCCTGACTGCTTTGTTGAAGCAGCCACTTAAAGAACTGAGCTAAGGGGCAGGCCCCCAACAATAAATACATAAAACACGGATCTAATTTACACACCCACGTTCACAGCTTTGGAACACTATGCAGCGTCAAACAGGAAGGAAGACAAAAGAAAAAAAACAGCAAGGAAATTTTGACACCTGCTATAACATGGATGGAATGAAGTTTGGAAACACACTAAGTGAACTGCGCAGGCACAAAAGACCCTGCTGGGCACGGTGGCACACACCTGTAATCCCAGCACCTGGGAAGCTGAGGCAGGATTGCTGTCAGTTTGAGGCCAGCCTGAATACATAGTAAGACCTGTCTGTGATTACACCTGTGAGGGACCTAGTGAGTACTGTCAAGTGCAGTCAGTATTAGAGACATGAAGTACAACAGTGACCGCCCAGAGCCCACAGCAGGAGGAAATGCAGTCAGCATTTCATGGGGGCAGTTTCTGATTTACAAGATGAAGAGTTCTGGAGATGAACGTGGTAGTGGCTGCGCCACATTATAAATGTACTTAATGCCACAGAACAATTGTTAAGATAGTACAATTTCTAAAATTTTGACACTACGTACCCTGGGCTCGGCTTAATCTCATGATTCTTCTACCTCAGCCTCATAAGGGTACCGCCATGCCTAGCAAGATGGCAAGTTTTACATTACGTGCGTCCAACCACAATTTTTAAATTTTTTAAAAAGGTATCTAAAGTGATGAACCTAGGGCCAGAGAGAGAGCTCAGAGGTCTAAAGTGCCTGCTTAGGCAAGCTTGGGCATACCCAAGGACTGCAGTTTGATACCCAGCACCACACGCCACACCAGCCCCGCCCCCAGGGCAGGCTGTGCCAGCCACATAAATAAATAAACAAATACATAAATAAATAAATAAAGTGATGAATCCAGAAGTTGGGCATGTGTTGCATGTCTGTCATCCCAGCACAAGAGGCTGAGGCAAGAGGATCCCAAGTTTGAGTTTAACCTGGTCAACTTCGTAAACTTAGACACTATCTCAAAATTTAAAACAAAATAAAAAAGTGCTGGGGATACAGCTCAGTGGGAAGGCCCTGGGCTCAACCCCCAGTACTACAAAGTAAATGAACAAATGCAGCGCTGACTCTTGGGTCTGAGTGATAGCAGTTACAGTGGCTTTGTTCTTCCTGGACAGTCCCAGCTTCTTCATCTGTGAAATGGGATGACACTGCCTGCTACAAAGTGATACTAAGGGAATTAAACATGACAAAAGCCAGGGGTTAGAACATAGTAGGTACTTGGTGAGCGGTTACCAGATGGCCATAAATGAATGAACAGCCCCAGGCTCCTTCCCTCGCCCAGTCACTCTCTGACCTCAAGACCTCCAGACCTTTGCTGGCTCCCAGCCTGCCCAGCCCCCACCTTCCCTCCCTGTCCCCTCCCGGTTATGCAATGCCAGGGTGCGCTTGGCTGAGCCCCTCAGCATCCTCATTATATAACTTCCTCCGGGCCTAGAGGCCTCCTCCTCCCAAGAGGCCCTGCCCACCCCCTGTGCCAGGCTGCCAAATGCTTATTTGCATGACCAGGATAAATTCGATCCTGGCAGCAGATCCGCAGTTAAGTCAGAAACTCCAGGACACCTTGGCAACTGCTGCTCAGCCCAACCATCGGGGCTCCCGCGGCTCAGGGAAGGGTGGCAACACATCTGGGGCTGTAGGGCCCATGGGGCAGAAGGGTCTGGGGCCACTGCTCTGACCCCGCACTGTGCCCGCTCAGTGGCTCGGAGATGGCAGGGCCAGTGCTAGTACAGGCGGTGGCATCCTGGAGCAGGGAGACGTACGTCTCTGAAGTCAGCAGCTACAGGCACAAGTGTGGGCCAGAGTGGGGCCAAGTTTTAAGCTCTCCACTCCTCTGGGCTCAAAGAGGTGGGAACAGAACTGCTGGACCGGCTTCCAGGGTGCCTGTTACCCCAGGGTGGGCACCCATGCGGTGTCAACTCCCCAAGAGGAAAATGGTTTCAGAAAGCCCCACTGTGCTAGCCAGGGCTTCCAGAGGGAGACCATAAGTCACATCCCAACTCTCCCCCAACTTCAGGCACCTTTGTAATCTTAGTGAGCCAGGCTCAAAAGAGGAGCAATTGGGATAAATCCCAAGTAGCTGTGGCTCAATCAGCTAGCTCTGGCTGCACAGGTCCACCACAAGCTTGCTTGAAAAGCCCAGGGACACAGGCCAGCTAGGAGCTTGGATGCTGATGGGAAAGGGGGAAGGGCCAAGGGCTGGGAGGAAGAGGCAGGAGGGGGAGAGGCAGTGGGGCAGAGCAAAGGGCCAAGCTGGCTGGGCCCAGCAGGGCAGCAGGGCCCAGCAGTGTGGCCACCCTGCTTCCTGGCAGCAGCTGCCTGTGACCTCACGGGCAGGGGCGTGGGGATGGGGAGGTGGCAGAGTAGGGCTGGGAGACACTGGAGTCTTTGTTTATTTGATTAGAAGGGAAAAAAGGCGGCCTCAGGACCAGACAGCCAGGGTCACATGACCTCCAGGCCGGCTGGAGGCCACACTGAGGATGGGGAACACCCAGGGCGCTGGGAAACGTGGATGAGAGGAACCCAGCCACGCGGTATTCCCGCAAGGTCCACACCAGATCTCGGGAAGCCCCACTCTGTGGTGGCCAGGGGTCAAGGACCAGGAGCCCTTGAGCTGGAGCCAAAGTGAGCCTTTCCTTCCCCTGTGGCCACTACCACCTGCTCCACTGCCCCATCTCCCGCTTGTCCTGGACCCAGAGATACCCAGGGCAGGCCTGAGCTCTAGGCAGGCCTGAGGGTTGGGGAGGGCGTTGGCCAAAGATATGAGAATGCAGCTGCACAAACAGCCTTGCTGAAGGTGAGGTCCCACCCTAAGCTGGGCCACCCCCTCGGCCACCACCAGGGGCGTTAAGAGCTGGGAGAGGAGGTGGCCCATAGACCACGCAGGCTAGGGACCCAGAAGTGAGCCCCTCCCCACGTTCACACACATGTACACAAAGATGCTGAGAACCAGGGCCTGGTGGACAGGCCCTGCATGTGTGGGGTGCACCCAGCGGGACAGACCCCCGCATGTGATGGAGTACGCACAGATGGCCAGTCACATGGTGAAGGCACATGGCCTCTGCTTCTCTAAAACAAAGACACATACGGAACCCAACTGGTCTCCAGGCCCAGCCCCATGAACCCAAGGACAGGCTAATGCCACCTCTGCCCTGGGGTGTGTCCTCCAGCTCCTCAGTGCCACTGCTCTGGTGCTGTCTTTGTCCCCCTCGCTCCCTGCAGAGCAGGGCAAGGGAATAATGAGTAAAGGAAGTCCCACGGTCTCCTTCAGAAGCCTAGAGACCCCTGGGCCTGTATCTTGGAAAGAAAAGAGTGGCCCCAGCAGACCAGACCAGACCTGCTCCTCGAGCCCCAGCCTCAGTGACTCAGCCATGCTGAGGCTACACGTGACAGGCAGAGGCTGGAGCAAGGTGTGGCAGGAGCTGGCGGGAGGTGCAGCATGTCATGTCCACTCCACCTGGAAAGAGTGGCGTGAACAGCAAGCAGCCTCGGCACCAGGGCAGCTCCTGGGCACGCGCCTCCCCGGCAAGTGACCACCTGGGCTACGGCCAAGACAGCAAAGTGGAGCCGGGGGCTCCCAGCTGCCCACCCAGGAGGGTGCTGCCAGCCTTGTCCACAGCTCCTGGCCTCGGCCTCTATGTGCAGAGCTCAGGCGAGGGCCAGGCCACCTCTCAGTGGGGCAGTACTGCTGACCAGAGCCTGGGACAGAGGCCATGGCCCGGAAGGGGAGAGCAGAGGAAGCTCTTGGGCCAGCATTAGGCACATCGCCCACTGAGCAGGGGCCGGGAGCCTCCGAGACAAAGAGGCAGAAGGTCCAACTTTTGGCAGCTGCTGGATTTGAGCCTCAGCCCACTCAACAGGGAAGCTACTGGCTGTGTGGAGGGGTCCAAACTGGCCCTGCCCCCAGGCGTGCTCTTCCCAGGCAGCCCGCATCTCCTTACCTTGATCCCCGGGGACCGAAGCAGGATAAAGCGGTGTTTCCGCTTGAGGAGGGCGCGGAGGTCCTGGCACTTCTCATAGCTGCTCAGTTCCACTGTCTCCACACACTTCTGCTCATCCTGGTCAGAGAGTCAAAGGGAGGTCAGCTGATGACAGCCAGATGACACACATGCCCCCACAGGACCCTTGGCTACTAGGCCATGCCTCAGGTTCTGGTTCCACTCAGAAAGGACACCACACTGTCACACTGACAAGAGCCTGGCAGGCAGCCGGGACCCATCTGTGCCAGCTAGGGGGATGCATGTTTGACACCCAGATGAGAAATGGGGGTGGCTGAATGCTGGGCCTAAGGGGTCTAAGGCCAGAAGAGAGGCTTAGGAAAGGTCCCTGGGGCTGTGCAGGCCCAGAGACCATGGTGGACAAGGGACAGCTGGGGCCCCTGCACCCTGCCTGCAGCAGTGACACCAAAACGGTGCCCCACCTGCCATCTTGCTCTGTGCCCTTCCTGGGAAGGGTGGCCAGCCACACACAACAGACAGAACGAATGCCTGCTTCCAAGCACCCCACTGAGCCCCAGCTGCCGTGCAGAGGCCTCCATGCTGGGTAGCCCCAGCCCCCCAGTCCCAAGACTGGAGAGCTTTCTCTCCACCTCTCAGCTGCCTGTCTACTAAGCAACTTCCCGATTCTCGGAGCTACATCGGACAGCTGCAGACAGAAGGCCAACACACATAGCCCACCCAGGCCGGGTCTTCCTAGCACACCACCCCCCTCCCAAATGAGTCGGTGTCACAGGCAACACCTCTTCCGTCCCAGGTCCTACCAGCGTGGCACCTTGGCCAGTACCAGCCCTTGAGAACTTGCTCCCTCCCTACTGAATCAGAAACCTAGGGGCACAGCCCTTTTGTGGCTCTGAAGGTAGTTAGACCCCAGGCCTTTCGTTACATTTTATTTTGAGACAAGGTCTTGATAAGTCCCTACATTGAAGATGCCAGGCTTAAAGTTTCAATTTTCCTGCCTCAGTCTCCCAAAGTGCTAGGATTCCAGGCATGCCCCACCACACCTGGCTCAATGTAAAGTTTATGTAGGCTTCCAGGTGATTCTGACGGATGCAGTGTGAGAAAGCTGCCAGTGCACCCCAAGTCCTTAATCGTGGAGGCTAAAAGCTTTTCTTTTGAGACAGGATCTCACTAAACAACCTCAGCTGGCCTTGAATTTGCAGCAATCCTCCTGCCTTAGCCTTCTGGGTACTAGGATTACAGGTGTGCACCCGTTTGCCCAGCAATGGCCTAAAACTTTTAAAAAGCCTAATGCCCAGGCAACATTCCAATCCAAAGCCATCAGGATTTTCTTGTGAGACCCAGAGTTCAGTATTTTTAAAAGCAGGTGGGGCTGGGGAGATGGCTCAGTAGAATAAGAGCTTGCCTGGCAAGCACCAGGATCTGAGTTCAATCCCCGATTCCAAAAAAAAAAAAAGCAGATGACTAGGGGGCCGGGGGGATGGCTCAGTGGAATAAGCGCTTCCCTGGCAAGTGCGAGGCCCTGAGTTCAATCCCCGGTTCCACAAAAAAAATAAAATAAAAGCAGGTGACTGTACAGCGGAGGCCAATCACCACTCATCCACTCTCTCTTTGGCCCTCACAGGAAGGGGATTAGATGGGCAGGGGGCCTGGTTGCCCCATGCAGGTTCACTCAGGTATCATTTCTCAGTTTTGCTTCCCTCTGTCCCTTTCTAACGCCAGTCCTCAATCCCTCCCAGGTTCCTCTACAAAACACAAGGGCCAGAAACACCTTGTGTTCTGGGAAGCCCCCACCACCTCCCATACCCCCAACTCCCGTTGCTCTCGCTTCTGAGTCTCCCATCACTTCCTGCTGGGACACAAATAACCACAAAGCGCCTGCCAAGGACAGAGACCCACTAGGTGCCAGGGGCCTGGAACTCAGCTATGGCCAAGCACTGGCCTAAGCCATGCCCTACTGTGTGTCTGTCTCCTTTCTGTGCCCCTCAGGGAGCCCAACAGAAGCCAGCCTGGCGAAGAGCACACAAAGGACCTGAGTGAGACCCCAGGAGTCTCCTGCTCCCTGGAGGGAGGCTCCCTCTAGAGCAGCCCAACTGCCCCACATCCACAAGACCTCCCCAAGCTGCGTGGCCGCTGGCCCAGATCCCCCGCCTGTGCCTGCACACACAAGAGCCAGTCCTTCCCTGCCACCCAAGTCCCGGTCTCCTCTCCCCCCGAAATGCTGAATCACCCAGGCCCTCCTGCAGCTCAGAAAAGCAGATAAAGCAGCAGGCGCTGGGTGGAGGCAGCATCTTTGGAGCGTCAGCCCTTGACAGCGGAGAAACAGCCAAGAGCCGTCTGCACTCGCCTGAATCCTTACATCAGAAAGAGGAATTGAGCTAATAAGCATTTCTCAATTCCCACTCCTGGGCCAAGCTTCCCCACCCCTCAGTGCTAAGTTCTTGAGATTACACGGACGTTTTTTTTAATAGTGATCATTTTTTTTTTCAGAAAGTGTGATTTGGATTTTCCTTGACGGGAGACATGAAGTCCTTTCTGCTTCCCAGCTGTGGCCAGATGTGGAGAGCAGCTCAGGGCAGATCTGGCAGCGCCCGACGGGCTGATAGTTGAGTGCCTGTCACTCCACTTTGGTGGCAGCTGGCACTGGAGGAAGCTGTGACAGCTCATTTATAAAAATATCCCCCTGCAGCCACATTCCCAGCTGTGGCACACATGCGTGCACCTCAAGACAGAACATCTGGGGGCTGTCTGCACCCGCACCATGCCCCGGCCCTCCGCCTGCTGCGTCTCTGACACCACAGCTCCTGGAGCCCAGGCAGGAGTCAGGGCTCCTCAAAGCAGCTCAGTGGACACCAGAGCCAAGCGGCCCAGGCTGGATGGGGGGAATTTTCTAGAATAGCCTGAGGGCAGCTGAGACAGACTGATAAGGATGAGGCAGGATCTGCCTGCCGCCCTTGTGTCCCAGCAGTCAGAGGGATGCAGTGACAGCACGCCCCCACACGGGCTGATCACAGGAGCCCAGGACCCACCCAGCACCCGCAGGGAAAAACTCCTCCTCCGGTCCTCAGCCAGCGCCTGCTGACTGGACACAGTGTTAGCACCCTCAGCTAGCCAGCTGACACCGGAAGGGGCACAGTCCTGAAGTGGGGGGTTTAGCAGGGTCTGCGCAGAAGTGGCATCTGGCAGCTTCTTGCTGAAGGAGAAAGAGAAGCTAGAAGCACAGTCTGGTGGCGTGGGACAGACCCCCAAGTGACTCCAGGCCACCACGGAAAGTCAGTGTGGCTGGCACCTTCTGTGGAAGAAGGCAGAGAATATTTTCAGACATTTCAGAGAAACTCCACCACCAAAACTAGCTTTCGGAGCTTACTTGGTGGTAGTTTTAGACCTGAGTCTTCCAATCATTTGTGATGTTAAATTCAATGTCACTTTGCCACTCTAGACCTCGGCGTCCTTTTCTGTAAGATGTAACAGGGTAAACACTCTCACAGGGCCACTGTGAACATTTTCAGGGAAATGTGTCCAGGTAGCATGGTATGAGGCTGTACATTCAGCACCTGGGAGGCTGAGGCAGGAGGATCCCTTGAGTCTGAGGCCAGCCTGGGCTACATAATGAGTTCAAGGCCAGATTGAATGCCAAAGAAAGACCCTGTCTCAAAAAAAGCAAAAAGAATCAAAAGGAAAAAAGAGACGGGGAAGGAGGTATGCAAGAGCACCAAGTAACTATGAACTATTAGTTCATTAGTATTTCTGCTGACAGCTGGGTCGCAGCGGTGCATGCCTGTAATCCCAGCACTGGGGAGGCTGAGGCAGGAAGACTGTGGCAAGTTCAAGACCAGTCTGAGCTACAAACTGGGCTCAAGGCCAGCCTGAACTGAGACCCTATCTCAAAAAGACAAAAAGACCCAAAAAAACAAAAAACAATTTCTGCTGCCACTGCTGAAAGGAGAAGGCTTTGGTTTTTCTGGAGGACTTACAGTGAAGTCTCCCCTGGGTCGGAAACTGCACACAGCTCTCCGAGGAGCATCACGCATTGTAGGTGCTCAGGGTTCAATGAGTTCTGTCTGGCAACTCTAGATTCACCCCGCGCCACACACAGACCCACAGGAGACGAACACGTGCTCAGGGTGGCACAGCTGGCAAGGCACGGCACCCCTCCCCCTTACCTCATTCTCACAGACCAGCAACTGGGCGTGACGGAGGAGTAGGTATCGATCTTTCCAGTGGCCTAGGAGTCCCCCGCTGCTCTTCTTGAGCCAGCCGGACTTGTCCGCTGTCCGAGCTCCCTGAGGCTTCTCACCACCCGCGTTCACGCCCTGCAAGACAGACAGTGCTGGGGCCTGCCACGAGGGCCACTGCCACGGGCCACATGCTCCACAGGCTGCGCAAGGGACGTGCATCTGTGCTGGTTACCTGATGATGTCATGCTGTGTAAGGTTCCCCGCAATCTTAACCGAGTATCAGAAATAACAAGGGGCCGGGGAGATGGCTCAGTGGAATAAGTGCTTCCCTGGCAAGTGCAAGGGCCTGAGTTCAATCCCCAGTTCCGAAAAAAAAGAAAAAAGAAATAACAGCAAGTTGGGCCCAGGGCCCAGGCCTATAATACTAGCTCCTAGGGAGGCAGAGACAGGAAGATCATGAGTTCAAGGCCATCCTGGGCAACACAGACTCTGCCAAAAAAGAAAGGGGAAAGGAGGGAGAGGAAGGAAGAGAAATGACGGACAGCAGCAGGCAGCCTGTCAGGCCACCATACTGCATCTCACACGCATGGTCTCCTTTAACCCTGACAACTCCCTCCAAAGTGGCAGTACCGTTATCCACACATCACAGCAAAACGGAGCTCACAAAGGAAACACAACTTGCCAGCCACCGACTGGAGGAACAGAGCCAGAAATCAACACAGGTCTCTCCAATCCACACAACCTTTCTACCTCTGTGCGTTCTGCCAATCAAAAAATGCCCAGGGCATTCACGTCACCCAAGAATTAAATTAATGCGGGGGGTGGGGTGAGTAAACAAACACCTGATACAAACACATTACCCAGTGGAAGATGCTAAATCGGGGACCACGAGAGGTCAGCAGCGGGGCCTCCTTCCAGCCAGGGTGGCCCAGAAAGGCCTTGTGGAAGAGAGCACATTTCAGCAGGAGAGGAAGGATGGGAGGGATCAGGAAGGCTGAAGGACACTCTGCCCCTGCACCCCACCCTGCTAGGACCCAGGCTGCAGCCCAGCTTCCTGTCCCAAAGCGGAAGCCATGCTGGCCTTGTCCCACCCTGCACGAGGTCAGGACTCTCATGTGGCTGCCCATTGGGTAAGGGTTCCAAGATCCAGTGTCAACCACAGGCTGCCACTGGAGGTGCTCAGCAGAAGCCACATCCTGGACGGCCCTCTGCCCCATGCGTTACTTGCCCGGGCAGCACAGGCAGATGGGGCTGGGTGCAACTCGGGCCCCAGCACTCAGCCCCGTTCCTTTACACCTCACGGGGGCTAAAGAAATATCAACCAAAGGAAACAAAAACGAAGCGAAACAAAAAGAAAAACATACCCCACTTGCTAACCACTGCGCTTTTCACTGCTAGCCGGGGTAGTACATGTGAAGGGGGTGTCAAGAGCATGTCGGAATCCAGAGGACGTGGGCCGGGGATTTAGCTCAGTGGCAAAGTGCCTGCCTGGCACGTGTGAGGTCATGAGTTCGAGTCCCAAGAATCCAGAGGATGCTAGAAGGAAACCAGCACTGACTAATCTTGACGTTATAATTTACATAGAACTTTAAAAAGGGGCCCCAGTTAAAAGAGGCACGCCTCTCCCCAGGGATGGCCTGTGGCCACAGCTGTCTTCAAGAGGACGAGCCCAGGCAGGGCTAAGTGGTGAGCTGTCAGGGGCTGGGTAGAGGCTGGCTTCCCAGCCCCAGGGTGGCTGTCCCCGAGGCCCTGCCAACTCCTGGAGCAACATACTCTGGCTTTGGAGCGCAAGTCATAAACTCAGGAGAAAAACTGCCTCATAGGTTTGTTTATCCAATACATAGAGATATCAGCTGTGCTTGCAAGAGATTCCGGGGCAGAGACTCCGGTTTTGGTCCCAGTGCCTCAACAGTGCCTACGTGCTCTGTGAATGCCTTTGCTGAATGAACCTAAGACAGGTACAGCAGTGCCTGGGATACCTAAACTGAGTGGATAGCAGGTGTCATTCCTGTCGTTCTCATCGTCACTGCCCTGCCCTCTGGCTCTCAGGGACCCTCTCATTGGGCCCAGCTCCCCGTCTGGACAAGGCCTTTCTGAACCTCAGCTGTTCAGTCTCAGCCTTCCAGGTGCTCCAGGATATGGCGCGCCCCTTGGGGTCTCTTCCTGACTTGTAGACGGCAAGAGAAATGGGGAAGCAGGAAGGTCCGTGCAGTCTTCCCAGACACAAAGAGGGAGTGTAGGGGCAAGTTCTGAGCAAACCTGTCCGTGGAAGAGGGGCCGCCAGGGCCTTTTAACAGGAAGGGAAGGTTCTCCTGTCCCACCATGCACCAAACTTCCACACAGGGGGAACCCTGATTGCATGCTCACCACAGGCACACCCCTCCTCTGAGCCACTCGGGCATCCAGGATACTGCCTGAGCCCCCTGGGGCCTCTCTTAAACTGGGCGGTGGGACTGTGGCCTGGAAGGTGCTTCTACCTCTCCCACCTCTGAGTTCCAAGGTTGTGTCCTGTTTTTCTGGGGTCCCACCAACTACGTCAGGGGACTCCACACCCATTTCTCAACACATTCCACTTGTAAGCTCCCTGGCTGGCCCACCATACTGGCTACTGAAATGTGAAAACTCCTCCCCAAGCCCCTAGCTGGAAGGTCTAGGGTCAAGGCTGGAGCCCTGGGCCTCTCTCACCGTCACCTCTGGTCTGAGTGTAGCGTGCCCGGGAACACTATGACAGGATTAGCTAGAGAAGCTAACCCAAGGCCTGGGAGGATGGGTGGGAACAGGATGGGTGGGATGGAAGGAGGGGGCAACTGAGGCGCTGCAGCTGGTCAAAGCAAAGCCACCCTAAGGGGCCCAGCTGGCAGCCTGCACCCTCTGTCCAGCCCCTTACTGCCCCTCAGACCGCCTCCCTCCAGGGGGCCTGGCTAAGCCCCAGGGAGTTTTAACAAGGAATCCCGCCCCTTGGCAGGGTTCACAGGAGAGGTTTTGTCCTGCTCAGCCCGGCTTTGTGGCCTCCTGGCCTCTCACTGACCAGCTGACCACTGTTCCTCTTGTGCCCCTCACCTCTCATCCATCCTTACTAGGCTCAGCACAAGCAGTTCCTCATACCCCAGGACCCAGCCTGCCTCCCCTGTGCCTGACACAGGCAAGTCTGTGGGTCACCCATAAAAAATAAGCCAGGTCACACTGAGCCTAGGCACAGAAGAAGAGAGATGAAAAGCCACAGCTTTCCAGCAGAAGCAATCTTGCTCAAATTGAGCATGATGTCACATACCTATAACCCTATTACCTGGGAGGCTGAGGCAGGATAGCCTTGAGTTCAAGGGCAGCTTGGAATATGTAACAAAACTGTCTTATTTTTTTAAGACTGTCTTAAAGAAATAACAAAACAGAAGCAGCAGCCTTGTTGGCACCCCACAGCCCACGCAGCTCATGATGACATTTAAAGCCTTCAGACTAAGTCCAGTGATACTCTGACCTTGCTCTCTAGGGAAACCCTCCAGGTAAGTGGGGAGGAGCAAGCTTCCTATTGGGAGGGGGACCCTGTCCAGCTCTCCACTAGGGTTAGCTCCAGAAGCTCTTGCAAAAGATGGGGCTCTGATGGGGACAGTGGCACACGCCTGTAAACCCAGGGGAGACTGAGGCAGGAGGATCATTGCAAGTTGAGACCAGCCTGGGCTACAAAGTGAGCTCAAGGCCAGCCTGAACTGCCCAGCAAGATCCTGTCTCCAAAAGAAAAAAAATAAAAAATACATGGGGCTATGAGAAGGTAAGGGAAACCTACCTGGCACACAGCAAGAAAGGTAATCAGGGAACCAAAGTTCCTTCACTGTCAACTCCTGTGCTCCAGAAAGAGAAAGTGGGCCCAGAAAAAGGAGAATCACTTCTCAGCCTCTCGGCTTGGCTCAACTGCAGGAAGGGAAAGAGATTAGCCCAGCACCAGCGCTGGGACAGGACACTGCCTACCCAGTCTCAAGCTGGGTGGACAGCCTGGAACCAGGGCAGGGCACAGCTGAGGAGGGCAGAGGGGAGGCTCCGGGAAGTGGAGACCTGAGGCTTCCAGCTGTACTCTAGCGGCAGCCACAATTCCCCTGATTTTGCAGTTTCCAAAGCTCCTGCACAGGCATCCCAGGTTCCTGGGCGCCTGGCTCCTCTCCTTTTACAGAAGGGGGAACTGAGGGCACAGGTGGCCAGAGGCTCAGGGCCCAGCCCAGCACCTCCTCACCAAGCTTCAAGCTGACAGGGATGACAGTCCTGTGCATGCAGGTCACCGGGCCTGAGAGGGTCTGGGTGTAGAGTGCTCCTAAATTATCAGGAGGGCTGGAAGCAGCCATGCGGAAGGGGAGTAATGGGGTGGTCAGGGATCACGGGTGTCATGGGACAGAGCAGGTGACCATGGCCTAAGAGATGAACAAAGATGAGCAGAGAGGCCTAAGGAATCAAGGCAAAGCTCCCTGAAGGCCTGAAGGATGCTAAAGGCAGGGGGAGAACTGGGAGCCCGGTAGTGTGGGTAAGGCTTCGGGCTGGAAGAAGTGGAGAGGACTTTAGGCAGGAGGTTACTTGCTAAGCTGTAGGTGTCTGAGAGTCAGAAGTAGCAAGGTTAGAAGTTAAGGATTTGAGTCCAGCTGAGCCCAGAAGGCCGCAGGAGAACTTCCTCTAACTGCGGAACGGAGAGATCAGGAGATGGAGTAATCCAGACCCACACCGCCCAGGAGCAGGGGAGGGGCCTCTCCAGGGAGCCCAGCCCTAGAAGCTGGGGCCCTCAGCGGCACCAGCAGCCCCAGCCATAACAGCAAGAAAGGAACTGCAACAAATCACAAATCACAGAGGCCTGATTCGGCCCCCTACCCTGAGAGGTCAGTGGTGATCGATTATGGCAGCCTGGAGGAAGAGGCCGGGCTCTGGCTTTTATAGAAGAGGAAACGTGGGCTGAGAGGGGAAGTGACTTATCTACTATCCCACAGAAATGCAGGCCTGGCCTGGAGGGAAGAGGCAGTCCAGCTCTCCTCAGTTGTGGCCTCAGGAAGTAAAGAGGTGGACACAGACAGGGACAACGACTCAGGGCTCCCCAGGGGCCAGGCCTGAACCGTAAGGGAAGGCTTCATCTCTCATCTCCACCCATCCAGGCAAAGATGCATCCCCTTCCCTGAGGCTTGGGAAAGCTGAAGCTGGGAACCATCTAAGGGATAAGAAACAGTCACCCTCTTGGTCATTCCACAGGTAGACAGGAAATGCTCACCATGTACACGCAAAGGGTAGAGGTCATCGAGTACCTGACCCCACCCCAAGGCAGGGGGAGGCTCCGGGGCTGCGCTGGTCCAGCTCTTCCAGGGATATGGGAATGGCAGGGCTCTGACTCCTCAGATATGGGGCAATGGGGGGAGAGAGGGGACTCACAGGAACTTACACAGGGAGAAAAAAGCAGTCCCTTCAGTCCTCCTTACTGCCTAGGGCAGGGTCACGACCTCAGATTCCTCGCATTGGGGACCCCCAAGACACCTCCCGCTAGCTCACGCCCTGGATCCGACCCTGCCGGCTCGACGACGGAAACGGGGATAGGGACGGCACAGCCACCAGGCCGCTTTCGGCAGTCACCGACCTCGCCAGGGCCTCAGTCTCCCCATCACCTCAATGGGGACAACAACCACCACGACTTCCCCACAGCAGGTGAGAAAAAGCAAAGGCGCACGGAAGGAGGACGGAGCCCGACCTCCACCCCACTCCTGCCCCATCGGCCCAGGCTCGCCCGGGGGTTCGAGGCCGAGGGAAAGGGGGAGGGCAGCAGCGCGGGCCTGAGCCCCCAACCCCGAGAGGGGCTCCGAGACGCCCGGCCCGGCCCTCACCTCCTCCATGGCACGGGGTGCGCTGAGGTCCGGCCGCCGCGCCATTCACTGCCCGCGCCGCACAGGATCCGCGGGCTCCATCGGCGCGGGCCGGGCGGCGGCTCGCTACGCTCTGTCCCACCGGTCTCCCGGCGCCCAAGAAACTTCGAGGGGGCGGGGCCTCAGGCGGGGAGAGGCTTCCGGGGGCTGGGGGCGGGGCCAGGGCTGCACCCGCGCGGGAAGTGGGCGTGAGGGAGGAGGGGAGGGGGTCGTGGGCGGAGCCTATGGGGGCGGGTCTGGGCGGGGCCCGAAGGCACGGCCTCGGTGAAGAGGCTATAGGGCGGAGGCGGGCGCGGTGGGAGGGACCTGGGCCTGTGGGCGGGGCCTGAAGGCTGGCCCAGGAGCCGGGCGGGACTCGCGGAGGGGGAGAGTGGTTTCCCGGACCCGCAGAGCAGGAGGAACTAGGAAGGGGCCGCGGGGGGCTGCGGTGGGGAGCGGCGGGGGCTTCCGGCTCGCAGGCGGCAGCGGAGAAGGGCGGCGCGGGCGTGGCCCGAGCGAGGGCCGGGGCGGGCCCAGCCGGGGCGGCCTCGGTGCTCCCGGGGGTGTTGGTAGCTGGTGCACCAGAGGCCTCCTGATCCTTTGGGCCGGGCAAGCGCTTATTCTACTGAGCCATCTCCCCAGCCCCTCCGACCCAGCTTTGCTGGGAGCCCCCAGATGAGTGCCCAGTGCAGCGCCTCCAAGTGGCGATGGCCTGGTCCCCTGGGCGCTGGGCCTGCTGGGCGGGGCCGGGCCGGATCGGAGCTCTGGTCCCGGATACGGGAGATCGTGTAACAGGAGGACGTGGGCCTGGGGTCCTCGTTGAGGGTCCCTGGCTCTCCCGAGTCCCCCAGCGCAGTGCTGTCCTGCCCTCCCCAGGCGTGGCACACCCGTCTCTGCACCCCACATCCGAGGCGCCTCCCCAGCCTTTCGCTCTAACTTGCGGCGCTGGAGAAGGACTGTGGCGCCGGGCAGAGAAGGTTCAGCAGCACAGCGCGCTCTCGCTTCGCACTGAAGAATCAGAGGCCAACAACCAATGGCTGTCTGCCAGTCTCCAGCGCCGCCTCGCCGTGGCCCAGCCCCAGGCCGCAGCCCTGCGAATTAAGTGTCGGAGAGATCAATGGTGACTTCCTTAGGCTTTGGCTGCATAGCAGCAGCTGCGCCAGTGGACAGAGGCCTCTTTTCACTCCCTGCTGCCCACCCTCGGGCTCCCAGGCCCTTCCCAGCCCTGCGGTGAAGAGAGCAGCCTGGGGCACCAGGGCCAACGGGTAGAAGGGAGGGGGCTTTTTCGTTCAGGTCTGGACCTGGGTTCCTTTATCTACAGGGTGAAGGAGCCGGGCTTGGTGGTGCAATCCGTCTGAGAGCAGGCTGAGGCAGGAAGATCGCCTTGAATTCCAGCCATTCTAGGCTACATAATGAGTTCAAGGCCAGCCTGATCTACATAGAGTTTCAAAACAAAAAGACAAAAGTGAGAACTTGAAGAGGCTTTGACTGGTTAGGAGGACTGCTGACAGTTTTTGTATAGTAATAAGAATGGTGGGCAGGGGGCCGGAGAGATGGTCCTGTAGGATAAGTGCTTGACTGGCAAACCCAAGGATCTGAGTTCAATCCCTGGTTCCGGAAAAAAGAAAAAAAAAAAAAAAAAAAAAAAAAAAGAATGGTGGGCAGCACCAGGGTTTCTTATTTTATTTTTATTTTAATTTTATTTATTTATGTGTGTGTGTGCGGCCAGCTCAGCCCACCAGGGGGCAGGCTGGCTGGCATGTGGTGCTGGGGGATTGAACCGTGTCCCTGTGCTTTGCTAAGCTTGTTCTAAGTAGGTGCTTTAGACCACTGAGCCATCTCACCAGCCCCAAGGGCCTTAAATGTTGATCTAAGGGATTTTTTAAAAATATTTATTTATTTAGTAGAGGGTCTTGCTACACAGCTGGGACTCCTAGTGATCCTCCTGTCTCAGCCTCCCTAGCTCTGGGATTACAGGCATGCACCATCACACCCGGTTTCGGTGGCCAGCTAGGGACCCAGGGCCCTGGCCAGCCGGGCCTGTGGTACCAGGGATGGAAGCTCCTTTCCATTTTACAGGTTCATTTTCATACCTGGTGTGTGCAGAAGTAACCAGGCCAAGAGTGGCTGGGAAGTCCTTTAAGTAGGAAAACCAGGGGAGGAGTTATGAGGATCACAGGGACTGATCTAAGTGACAGGAGAGAACCAGCCATGGTGGCACACACCTGTAAGCTGAGGGACTTGGGAGGCTGAGCCAGGAGGATCACAAGTTCTATACCAACCTGGACAATGTAGTGAGATCCTCTCATTTCGGAAGGAGAGACCAAAAGTAGGCAGGCTGGGGTGTAGATGATCATTAGAGTACTTACCAAGCATGCAAGAGGACCCGGACTTAATCCCAGTACTAAATAAAATAAAAGCAGGCGTAGTGGCACATGCCTGTGATCCCTGCACTCAGGAAGCTGAGGCAGGAGGATCACGGTGAGTTCAAGGCCACTGTGGTCATAGTGAGATCCTGTCTTAAACACACCAAAAATCAACAACCACAACTAAAAGGAAAAGAAGGAAGGAAGGAAAGAAAATCCTTTGCCTTGAGACTTGTCTCCCAACCAGGCTTCAGGTCAGGCAAGGGCAGTGCAGGACCTCCCTGGGCTCCTACCAAGCAGGGCCAGCAATTCGCAACTCTGGCAAGAAACTGGAAGACTGCCAAGGAAGTCAGCCCCTAGATGGCTGCGCTGGGGCCGAGGTCTCCTATGGCTCCTCCCCTTTCCTCCAGCAGCCAATCAAGATCCAGATAGCTGGCGGGGGTGGGGGCGAAGGCCGTACCCTACCCCCCCCCTCGGCTGCGGTGGCGTCTAGCTAAACAGCCCACTCCTCTCCCCTGGAGAACTTATTGCTGATGATCTCAGGAAAGCGTGGACGCGTGTAACTGGGAAAAGGTCCAAGAGAGTCATATAAACTGAGTTTACAGGCGAGCTTGGTGGTGCAACCCCGTAATCCTGGCACTCTCGAAGAGTGAGGCAGGAGGATAGCAAATCAGTTCTCATCCTGGACAATTTAACGACTTAGCTAGGCCCCGTGTCAAAAAGAAAAAAGAAAAAAAAA